TTCCCTAGTTCAGACCAAAGTTAAATTACTGTAAACATAATTTGTGAAGGGCTTTTGTTGATTTTCCTTTTGATAATGGCGAAAAAGTGGCTTCTTTTTAAAAACATACCCATATCAAGGCTAGAGTGCAAAGACCATACCCTATTTACGACCAAACTGGCTAAAATCGATACCCTATTTATGACCAAAACAGCTGAAAAACCATACCCTTTGGGGCAGCACATACCCATATAGCCCATATAAGGGAGTAGCCCCCGGTATCCCCTCCCCCGGGACTCACTTTAATAGCATTTTTTGACCACCTTATTTGTATGATCTACCAAAAATGAGTGTTTTGTTTTGTTTTTTTTACAATTTTCTAATTTTATATTCTTGATGCTCTAATGATAATGCATATTTACTTCTCCCAAATTTGTAGCCCAACCATAAAACCATCGCCCGCACTATTTCCGTCTCCAGACCCTTCGTTTCTGTTGAGACGAGTGGATAGGGGCCCAGGGATAGGAATGCCCGTACGCTGCGCCGACGCATGGCAGTGTCACACAAGTCACTTTCTTCGTGTTCGTCACGCAAGCACATTCACTGGTGCTGGCGGGCTGTACAATTACTTGGGCACGTTTTTAAACGCAGAGTGTCTCTGTCATCTATAATATTCCTCCATCTTGCAGAAGGGAAGTAACTTAATCGCTGACAATTCTCTAGCTCTGGGATGGTGTTGTACCGGCGAATTGGGATATATGTTGCCACCATTTACATTTCAACATTTGTTCTCGTCCTGCCCTTGTTGTGTCACAAACTTGGCTTCTCAACGTATTTTAACAAGCCGAAGGAGCCTTACAAATACCTCGAAGCAGAGAACAAGGAACGAACCGAGGAAGCGAGGAAATATTTTAATAGTCTTTATAAATCGACTACGACATTTCCCCAATATGGTGAAAAAGTTCAAATCGATTTCTCTATTGTTCTCTTGACAGCTCACCGTGGTTCGAACACGCATTATTCACTTCAAGTCGCCTCTCGTTTACTGCCTCAGGTCATAAGCGATGAAGGGAGAAGTGTTTTAACCATTCTTAATTCGGATCCACAGCCTGGAATGAACGAAGATGCTGCTTACTTGTCGAACTTTATTACGGTAGTCAATAGTTCGTTACCTGTAACGTCCGCTTCGAGGTCACGCGAGAAAGAAGACTATGTTGTGGGTTTAGAAATAGGCGTGCGACACAATTCAACGTACGTTTTAATGATCGAGGATGACGCTTTGCCGTCAGAACGTCTCCTCAGCCATCTTCGGTATGTCTTGACATATAAAATGCCTGGGAAGTTCTTGAAAAGTCGACGGGATTGGGTGTTTCTGAAACTCTACTATCCCGAGAAATGGCAGGGTTTTGGTTGGCCCGAATTACCAGAACTTGTATTGATCGGTATACTCGGCGGATCTTTAGCTGTGTGGGTTCAATTGAAAATGCGAACTACGACACGAAGGAAAGTATCGCTGTATTGTACCTTCACTGTATGGGGAGTCTATGTCATTTTGGTTGTTTATACCGTCGGCAGAGCTCATTGGATAGAATTAAGGAAGCTCTCACCAGTCATGTACTCAGTTGTCAAGGCTCCTGGCTGCTGCACACCAGGTGTTCTTTATCCGAGGTCTCATGCACGCAACCTCGCCAATTTTTTAAAATCAGTTCAGTGTAGTGAAAAGTATCCTATGGATGTGGCGATCGATGACTTTGCCAACAAAATGAATTTGGAGAGGTACTTGGTGATTCCGAACATGATCAGTCACATTGGTGTTCATTCAAGTCTTGGTAGCCGAATGAAACACTTTGCTGAGTTTTATTTGATGTTTAAGCCATGAGTAAGGGAGTATGCAACAGTTTCGCTGAATTTCAAATAAAGTGACATATTGTACCTCAGGCTTCTCCCTCTTTCCAAAAATAAGTCCCTGTTATGGTAACATTTCAACATCCAACAAAGCGCTGAAATTACAACATGGAGGAGGTGGATAGAATGATGATAAAGGACTGACTCGCATTGCCATTCCAAAGGGAATGTAAGGACTTCTAGCATTTTTGATGTGAAAAGGTTCGAAATTTGGATGGGGACGTCAATGAATCCCCTAAAAGAACCACATAAATATTGAATTATTAACACATATTTGCTTAGCTGATGTACATGTAGTGCATCAGAACTATTTAAATGATATAAGAACCATAATAAGAAGGATCATGACCACAGGCATTATAATAAACGCTTATTTAGATTGCATCATTTGCATTTCCTTGATCTACAATGTGTAGCTGTTGATCTGATATCCTGTAGCTAGATCTTTTTTTTATTATTCCTAAGTAATTTTCAATTCAGAAGTAGTTTGGGCATATAATTTCTCCATCCTCGGAGACCCAGGGGCAGCCAGTTGGGACGATGCACTATTTTCAGGTGACACAATATTTTCAGGTGAAAGTTTACATCAAGAGCAGGAGCGGCAGAAAATATTGCATCATGCCGACTAGCTCCCCCCAAGTCTCCGAGGATGATAATTTGACCTGGCAATGTTGATTTATTATTTTCTTTTTGTACTGGCCATATATATGTTAAGCATATTGCTTGACTTATTTGTCTTTTATCACCACGTGTCTCATGCTGTTGTAAAGAAACCATGATGCAACTGACAGCATAGGTCTGAACAAGCTACCTGGCACACATCCCTATTCCTTGGTGTGTGCAATCAAAGGAGCTCAATCACCATGTTTTGAATTATTTTGGCCAGTTGTACAAAGTTACCTTTGAATTAAACAAAACCTTAAAATATTGGTTTTCTGAGATACAAAAACACCAAAGAGATAATAATAATAAACCGTAAAGGAACAAGGATCGTTGAGGATGGATAAGATTAACACTGCTTAAAAACAACCAACTTGTTAAATTTAGGCTTACCTTTTAAGATGTTTAAACCATAACATAGCTCCTTTAAGACCAATTTTGCCAAGATATTTTCACAACTTACTTCAAAAATACATATTTACTGAATTAGTTTCAGCAGACTGCAAAATCTTTGGCTTTTGGTCAGGGCAGACAGAACTGCTCTTGATATGGAAATGTTGATCTTCAGCCAAATATATTTCTTATTAGGACCTCTCACTCAAAAATGTGCTAAAATTATAACTAACCCTATAATTTTTCTTCATTCATGAGCCTGGGAAACGGTGGGATTGGATATTGGATTTAAAAAAACTTTTCAGAAATGTCAAAACAGCACCAAATATTATTTGATAATAAAGTATAACAGGATAAATTTAAAAATAGGAGAACTGTTAAGATTTTGGAATGAATTATTTTTGTTAAATCCAAAGTTTCACTGAATGACCCTTTGGAAACATGGTTACCACAGAAATGTTTAGTCACATGACCAAAATCTTTCATTGCATATGGAAGTATTTAAAGAAAATTTTTTCCCCAGATTTCTTCAAGTTTTTATTCTGGTCCAGTGTTCCAATCTGGTTGTCAGGCCATCACAATACCTTATAATTCTGAACTGAAGTTTTATCCTCATTTTCATGTTCAAGTCCCAGTATTGACGTTTATGCATTTTGCGGGTCTATTGTTTTGGTTCACATAATAGTGAGGTTTCTGTTGTTTTCCAATGCTCACAGCATGCAGTGCATCTTGGCCAAAACTGGGTCTTCAAACCCTGTCACAGGCTGATGATGAATGGATGAAAATGGATGTATGGAGATAACTGCGACCTTCAATTCTTGTTTCCCAGTTATGTTGGTTTGCCAGACTGCTTAGTTTGTTCGGGCGGGTGTAGGGGGTGTTGGGGGGATGATGTGTCAAACAGTGTTTTACACTGGAAGCTCTACTCTGAAGTCCAAATCCTTACCCTTTTAAATACCATTTTTGACAGAAGCAGTAACCTTTTCTATAAAGTGAAGCCTTGGGGCCGACTGGCTCATAGCTGCCGGAGCTTATCCCGGTTTCTGTAGCATGAAGCGGCTAGGAGTATTTCTACTCTCCCCGGACGGGATGCTAGTCCATCGCAGGTCACTCCACCGCAATTTGTTAGGTTTCCCCAACAATTCGCTGGTACCCATTTATACTCCTGGAGAGAGGCACTGTGAGAGTTAAGTGTCTTGCCCAAAAACACAGCATAGTGTCCCGGCCAGGGTTCGAACCCTGACCGCTCGATCCGGGGACGAGTGCACTGACCATGAGGCCATCTTATATACCTTCCATAAAAATGGCATCGCTTTCACACACCTACAGTAGGCACACTAAATGCCTTTTTTATAACCTTAAATTGAAACGAGTAACCCCTTAAAAATTTGAATACTTATTTATACTGATCGACT